AAGTTTCTCTCGCTTTTAAGATAATTTGACACAACAAAGAAATGCTGGCCAAGCATATTTCAATCACTGAGCTATAGAAATAAAAATGATTAGCTTAGTTACTTTCTCTTTATTTTCTCTTTACTTTAATAAATTTTTTGTCTAAAAAAAATTTATCCAATCAATCCAGGGGGGGGGGGGGGCAAGTGCCCCACCTTGCCACTACCTGCGGGCGCCCATGCATGCCGGGTTCTCGCTAGTGCTCAATAAAGAACAGGAATGTTATTGTAATTTTTGTGCATTTACAGTACTTTATCACATTTCTTTTTAGAACAATGGGTCTGAAGAAAGTGAGTGGAAAGGTCAGTACTCAGAAGAAGATGATTGAGCATGAAATCATAGAAAAACATAAGCAAGGTGTGCGAGTGACTGACTTGGCGAGGCAGTACGGGCATAGTACTTCAGCGTTATAGTCTGTGCTTAATTTAGAGGGAGTCGATAAAGGGTATAACACCAGCTAAGGGCGCTACAATAATTTCTAAGGTCCAGGCCTCTCTCGATGAAGCGATGGAGCAACTGCTGTGTGGGTGACGGAGAAGCAGCTTGAATGACATAACTTAACGCAGGGCACTTTATAAAACCAGTTTATTTCTTCACATTCTCTTTAATTACCGGTATGTTTTATACAATATTTGTCATTTATAAATTAATATAAATACACTTCTCTTGTTCAAAAACAACTGGGGTTACATTTTGGGGGCTGGAACGGATTAATGGCATTTCAATAATTTCAATGGGGGAAATTGCTTTGAGATACGAACAAATTGACTTACGAGCCAGGTTACGGAACGAATTAAATTCGTATCTCGAGGTAGCTCTGTATTTGGATACCTCACACCCCCCCCCCAAACAAAATATCCTACATAAACACCACCCCATTCTTCTCTCAGGGCAAAGGTAACAATTATAGATAGTCTCCTACCAAAGGTATTTCTTGATCTTGTAATAGGGAGCTAAAACTAATAACAGTAAATGTGCATTTAATTTTCTTAATTGGAAAAACAACCCGAATATTTTTTTTTCAACCCTCTTAAAATCGTAGGTCTGACAGGTGTTGTAGTAAAGCGTAAAAGACATCTCAAAATCGTACATTGTATGTCAAAGTCATAAGAGTTAACAACCATAGGCATGACCATATATGATGCCAATAGATAGAACGTTGACAGTTGTACTTGTTTGGACATTTTGTAGCCCACCCAAAACACAGATTTTAAAATAATTATTCGGCCTCTTACACATTCGAGACCCCTGAAGTCGCAGTGTTCAACACAACGGCTCTGCTGTAAGTAAGGCTACTTCTTCTTCTTCTATATCTTAAGGGCCCACGATCAATTTATTGATTATTTTGGCTCCTGTGCACGTAGAGGGGATTTGCAATGTTTCTGTTACTGGTGGTGATGAGGAAATCATGCACTAGGGGTTTGAAGGCTTGAGGCAATAGACACAAATGTGTCTAGTGTTGTCGCCTCAACCGTTCGTTTTGAAAGCTTGTTCCAATCCCGGATTGTCTTGGGCAGGAATGAGCAGCTCCTATACTGGCTTCTTGTTGGTATGAGCCTGAATTGCCTGTCATGGCCTCGTCGCTGTCTTTGGGGGAAAGGGACGAGTTTCTGTTTAATACTGGAACAGTGTACCAGCCCATTATTTATCTTGTACATCATGGAGAGCCTGGATTGTCGTCGTCGTTCCTCCAATGGTGACCAGCCTAGTGTTTCTAGCATGCTTCCAACACTAGAGGTATTCCTGTAGCGGTTTAGGACAAAACGTGCTGCTCGTCGCTGGACCGCCTCCAACCTGTCAATGCTCATCTGGGTAAATGGGTCCCAGACTGGAGATGCATAATCTAAAATCGGACGGACAAAGGCTTTATATCCACTTTCTTTCACACAGGAGTTGGCAATCTTTAGATTTCGCGGTAAGAATCCCAGGGTTTGCTTGGTTACATACATTGTTAATATGCTCGTCCCACCGGACCTCTCTTTGAATGGTAACACCTAGGTACTTTACGGAGGAAACTGCAAGTATATGGCCATGCAGTTCGTATTGGTAGTAGTGTCTGGCACTTGGCAGGGTGAAATTCCATGTCCCAGCGCTTCTCCCACTCAGCTAACAGATTGAGATCCTGTTGTAGCTGGTCCTGGTTAGATCTGTTGGCGATCGTCCTATACACTGCTGTGTCATCTGCGAACAGTCAGTTTCTGTGATGTCAGTTTCTCGGGTAGGTCATCAATGTATGCTAGGAACAAACAGGGGCCCAGCACTGATCCCTGGGGACCCCTGACTTCACATCGACAATTAATTTAGAATTAAAATGCAATAAGAAGATTAACCTTTATCAAAAAAATATATTAATATTATGATACTTGCCTAGAAAATAAAAGTATTAAAAAATTTATTAGGCCTACCGACCTTGCCCCCAGTGATAGATTCATGACAATCTTGAACTTGAATTGCCGAAAAATTTGCTAAGCCAGCAATCTCTAGCACTTCGTTGTCAAAGAGAGCATTACCAAATACTTGGACATAGTATTTTTAGTTTTGCTGCAATATGGGCAACCAACTTTGGAGAATAGCATCACTTTCTTCCCGGCTATTTTGGCATCAACGAGTGTTTTCACGTCTTCCATTTTGGTCAATAGATGAGATTAAGCAAGCGACTTGTGAACGGCGCAGTTTCAATGAGCCATTGTTAAACTCTCGTGGCTTTTCAGTGTGTTCAGACTCAGGGTCAAAATATGATATTTCTCGTGGGGTCATGACACATAGTATTTTTTATTCGCCCTTTTCCCGAGGCGATCCCGTACCCGTTGGGATCCCTTTCCCCGTGTGATCCTGATTAATCCCCCCACCCCCTCTTGTGACCAATATGTTACATTAAGAAATGGCGTCAGCGGGGCGAGTCTAAGACTCTTTATGCCCCCCCCCCCAAATTACCCCTCCCCTGTCCGACGTATCGGGCTGCGGAGCGGCACGTTGGAGATGCCCACTCGTCAGGACGGCCCCCACACGGGCCCCTCACCCAAGTCCCCCGCCTGGGCGCTCGACCAGGACCCCGCCTGGGGGCCGCCCCAACCAGGAGGCACCCGGTCGATCTGACACTATGTGTTTAAACAGTGCACTCGATCGACTTTCTCTAGGAGTTGGGATGGAAAAATGTACGTCCTAATATCTTCCCCCACCCATCCCGGGAAAGCGTCGGACGCCCTATAAGAGGGATTCCACAGTGGGTTTCCACAACGTGACTAGTTCACGCTGTAGCTGGGACGAAACGGTTGCCTAGGGGCAGCGTTCTCACGGCTGCATTATTTGAATCCTCGGCCAGAGGTTACCACCTTCGCCTCTGGCCTCATACCCGTCAGCGGCAACTTGTAATCATGATCCCTACCCTGGCTCTGCCTAACTTTCCGACTGCGGAATATCCCAGCCGGCAGCCCTGTTTTATGTATGGCAGGTACCGAGCACACCCTTTGTCTGCCCACGGGGGGCGTGCCCAGTAGTTATGGGGGATCGGTGGCCGACGCTTCCTAATGGGCAAGCCACAACAGACTTGTCAACCGGAAACCTGGAACAATAAACGATGCTGCTGAGTAGCCGTCCATGTAAATAGTTCTTGAATTTGTGGAGTGATTATACAATTGTTTTGTTTTATTTAATTAATGTAAGTTAATTTTGTTCATGATTTTGTTTGTTAAATTGTATGTAAAGCGTGGTGAGCCCAGACCAAGGCTGGGGTATCGTGCTATATAAAAACACCAATAATAATAATAACCCCTGTCTTTGTTTGATCCAGATCCCCATTCTCCTTGGGATCTATCTGTTTTGATGCTCTTACCAAGATGGGATCACATTTTCTCATGTGTATCCCGTTCCTCGTTGGGAACACGCTCCCGGTGAGATCCTGCTACCCGTTGGGATCATGAAGGGTATACTTACCAACCTTGAGCAAGATCCATCAATACACTTAGTAGTGTGTAGCCTACCACTATCTAAGGGGCCGTTCGCAAATTACATCACGCTCAGGGTGAGAGGGGGGGTCGGGAATTTGTGACACGGGGAGGGGGGTGTGTCACAAATTTGTGACGTCATGTTTTTTTAAAATGCTAAAATTTTCTAATTTTGAAAAAAATCTTTATCCAATTAATTTGAGGTCGAAATTGCCTCAGGTATTATAGGTATTGTGAAACTCAGTTTTTCTAATAATACAACATCTTAATCCATTATGGAAAAACGTTACAGAATAAAATATAATCTTATTTTAGTTATGAAAATTGTATGTATGATTTGATTTGGTTAAAGAATTTGAGACACTTCGTGACAGGGGGGAGTTGGGGGCCTAAAAAGCCTTTAACTTCATTTATGTATGTAGCTAATTAAGGCCACAATACATGTAATAACTATTAATATATGGAACGTTCTAGAAAATTCCAAAATTATCTATTAATTCTTATTGAATTACATTAGAGGAAACATACTGGTATTGAAAGTTATTGCAAAAAAAAAAAAAAAAAAAAAAACAAAAAAAAATAAAAAAACAAAAAAAAAAAAAAAAAAAAAAAAAAAAAAAAAAAAAAATATAACTATTAATATATGGAACGTTCTAGAAAATTCCAAAATTATCTATTAATTCTTATTGAATTACATTAGAGGAAACATACTGGTATTGAAAGTTATTGCAAAAAAAAAAAAACCCACCTAAATACCATGTTAAGGGCATTTATATAATCTTAAAATATTAAAATCAAATCGAAGTTTCTAGAATAATCTAGAAACTTCACGAAACGCATAAAAAGATGACTCAGTGGTACTGAATAAATCCCCAGGAAAGTATAAAATTGAATAGAAATAAACGAACATTCAATAAACTTTTTGATATATCCTCGTGTAATAATAGAGAACATTCTGGAATGTACTAGAATAAATTTAATAACCTACTTGAAACGTGTAAAAAAAATGAATTCCTACGTAATTTTATGCATATATAAGAAATTATAAAACTAAATTCCACAAATATTACCATTTTTCATTTAAATAATAAGAGGGCCCCCAACAGAGGCCCATTCCAATAGGTACAGTTTGTTATGCTTGAGATAGGAGTTAAAATTTTAAATTGTGGCAAGAACGCCTGGATCCCCACAGCACCAAGATACCAACTGTTAAAATATCTGTAGTCTGAAGTCCTGTTTAAACCAGTCAGACAAAATGTTACATACTTTATATTACAGAAATAAAACAAAACGATTTAAAGTAATTTTATTTCCAGAATTAGAAATCTTTTCTATGCAGCATCAATACAAAAACATAAGCATAGCAATTATTAAATTATTGTCAACAAATTTGATCCATTTATACACAGTGGGTTTATGGGCATTCATTTTACTTTATATTATTAAAATACATTATTGAGACAAAATTCACAATCACCTAGTTCAAAAAGGAGGGGGGATGTTTGCAGGATGCATTACTTTTCTGGGCGTTTCAGCACCCTAAATGATATACTATTCTGAATTTATCTGAATCGAATTTATTGAATTATGAAAATGTGTCTTTGAATACCACATTGCACTCTGTTGAACATTCAGTTCCCATCAATTTATGTCATTACATTCTTTTACCAGTTCATTAATTTATAACATTTGTTTATATTTCTTTATGCTAAACGTTTCATACCATCAACACTGCTGCTAGAGCCTAGTATTCCTCTGTGTCACCATCTCCTTATATTCCACCCACTGTTGCTATATCCTAGCATTTCTCACAATGTAACCATCTCCTAGATTTCCTCCCCATTGTCACCATCTCCTAATATTCCTCCCACTGTCAGCGTCTTCTAGTATTCCTCTCCAGCATCATCCTCTGGCTTCACAGAATCAGCTCCAACTTCTTCATAGTCCTTCTCCAGAGAAGCCATGTCCTCCCTCGCCTCATGGAACTCACCCTCCTCCATGCCCTCCCCAACATACCTGTGGACAAAAAATGGATACAACTTCACAAACTGAAAGCAAATTAGCATAACACATGACGGCACCAGAACGACACAGTCTGTCTCAACTAGAACGCCCACCAAGCTTCACATAAATATCAATTGCCAATTATGTTTATTATTATTATTATTATAAGTGGTTTTATATAGCATGGTACCCCAGCCTAGGGCTGGGCTCACTACCCTGTACATGCAATTGAACAAACATAATCAACAACTTAAAAAATAACATATATTAATTTAAAAAAACAAAACAAATGCCTATTTAAAACTATTTACATGTCAAGACACCCAGCATCATCATTTTTCGGTCAGAGGCGGGAATCAGTCAGGATTGGAGAGTTTAAAGAGATGTGTTTTGAGTGCAGTTTTGAAGGCTGTGATTGTCGGTATATTGCGGATGTGTAATGGAAGAGAATTCCATTGTTTGCGGGCACAGAAAGAGCACGATCGTTCACCATATGTTTTAGTGTGAGTCTTGGGGACAGAAAGAATACGTTCGTCTGCGGAGGAGCGAAGCTGTCGAAGGGGTGAATAGACAGAAGTAGGAAGGGGGGGAATTCGAGAATAATTTGTGGCAGAGAACAGAGAGTTTGTAATCAATCCGTTCTGGTACAGGGAGCCAATGAATTGAATGAAGTAGTGGTGTGACGTGATCACAGTTTTTCGCCTTTAAAATTAACCTAGCAGCTGAGTTTTGAACCTTTTGTAATTTTCTAAGAAGTGTTTTGGTGAACCTGATAGAGGAGAGTTGCAATAGTCAAGACGAGAGAGAACAAGAGCATAGACTATGGTTTTTGTTGCACTAACTGTGAGGTATTGGCGAATGGAGCTGATCTGACCAATAGTGGTGTATGCAGAGCGACAAATGTGAGAGATATGATTATCGAGAGACATGTTGTTAGACAGAATATAACCAAGATTCCTAGTGGAGAATGTAAACTGTATGTCGGAGTTACCTACATAAAATGAAGTGGGGAGAGCTGAGTAAGAGGATGATTAGTGATCGTGAATAAGGAGTTTACTAATTACATCAAGAGTGACAATTGCACTCTTGTGATTCAACTGTTTACCAGTAGGCCATTACCATGTTTATTTTATTTTTTGTATATTGATGTACAATGGATGACTGCATAAGTAACAGGGGCAGATAATGTACTAACCAGTGAACGAAAGCCCTCTTGGCATACATGAGATCAAACTTATGATTCAACCTCGCCCAAGCCTCAGCTATGGCGGTTGTGTTGCTCATCATGCAAACGGCTCGCTCCACCTTGGCTAGGTCGCCACCAGGTACAACTGTGGGAGGTTGGTAGTTGATACCAATCTGTTGATGAAATATCGATTCTTATTCTATGTCATTCAAATGTTGATTTTTATGTCCTGCCATTACAATATGGAGTGAATGTCATGTCATTCATAAATACCGATTTTATGCCATGTCATTCCCATAACTGAATGCTCTGTCATTTAAATAACTGATAGTCATATCAGTCCAATAGTGATTTGGCCTAAAAGTTGACACCTTAAAAAATGTTCAATACAAAATATAACTGAAATTCTGAGATAGTAATGATATCATTTGGTTATACATATCAAAATTTTCTTTTCAAATTTCATTTTAACTCAAAATTTTTAAAAAATTTGCAGATGTTAAAAAACATTTCATATATATTTATTCAATTTTTCATTTGAGTTTATAAAATTAGTCCAAGCAATAAAAGCTCCATAAACTGGCAGCTACCTTAAATCCCGTGGGACACCAATCCACAAACTGGACACTACGCATGGATTTGATATGTGCTATGGCTGCACTGACATCTTTGGGGACCACATCACCTCTTTAAGATAAAATGTATGCATGCATTAAATGTTCTACGATAAGCCTTATAATATAATATTGCAGTTGGTGGCATTTGAAAGTAAAGAAAAATTAGGTATTTAATTTTAAATGAAATCATCGATTCCTTGAACATTGAAAAAAACAACAACACTTTATAACATTTCATTCACAAAAAAAACATGTCATGTAGATTTACCTATACAACATACAACATGCCATATATTTTCCATGACGTGGGTCACACACAACCATCTGGTTTTGTGGTTCAAAGCAAGAGTTTGTAATGTCAGCAACGGACATCCTCTCACTGTAAGCCTGGTCACAGAAATACAAAATTTGTTTTAACAATATGGCCAATTACATAAAAATATTGTGTACAAAAAAACAGGAAAAAAATATGCACTAGCATTCTATAATTTATGTTTTTATACAAAGAAAGTTTCAAGGTCACTCACTTTTTCTGCTGATATAATAGGAGCATATGAGATTATGGGGAAATGGATTCGTGGGTACGGCACCAAATTTGTTTGGAATTCTGTTAAATCAACATTCAGTGCCCCATCAAATCTGTTGATGAAAATAAACGTTATAGGCTTGATCTTTATAACATTGTCCATTTGTTCTTATGAAATGATTATCATAGACCTATTCCTTCTACATTCGGATTTATTACAATGAACTTGGGAACCTTTTTTTCATATTTTCTTAAACAACTACACACATTTGAGCAAGTTGAGCAGTTGACAAGTGTTTGGCTCAGGTGAAAAATAAATCTCAACATTCCCTCACCTGAGAGAGGCAGGCACCCCTAACATCTTACCTGAGAGAGGCAGGCACCCTTAACATCTTACCTGAGAGAGGCTGTTATAGAAGAAACAACTTGTCCAATCAATCTGTTCAAGTTCACAAAAGATGGCCGTTCTATGTCCAAGTTTTTCTTACAAATGTTGAATATTGCCTCATTATCCACAATGAAACCACAATCTACATGTTCCAACGTTGTGTGAGTGGTCAAGATGGAATTGTAAGGCTCAACAACAGCTGAAGACAACTGGGGAAAGAAAAACAAATCAGAAAATAATTTTCTGTTCATCAAGCCTTGCTCCCTCCATAACATTCTTTATCAATATTGTTTACTTCTTAACATCCCTGCTTTCTCCTCCATTTGCTTTTTTTTTTTTAGCTCCATTAAATCTTAGTGATGAGCCATACCTGTGGAGATGGATAGACGGCAAATTCCAATTTTGATTTCTTGCCATAATCTACGGATAACCTTTCCAACATTAGAGAAGTGAATCCAGATCCAGTGCCACCACCAAAGCTAAAAATATAAAAATTGTCTTGATTGATAGGAAATAATCATTAAGATAATAAATTGGAGACTCCCAAGGTGTAGGTTCTAGGTCTACTGTCAGACTTATTCGATGTTGCATGTTTTGTTAGGGGCTTACAACGCATGCATAAGACCAAAAACAACTTCTAAAACATTCATGAGAAACAATCCTCAGTGAAGACAGGTCGTATAAGATTAATGGAAAGCTGAAGGAAGATGAAACAGACTTGCCGACTACCTGCCATGCACTGAGGGAACACAACCGGTTAAGGAACTGGAATCCAGTGACTATGTCACATGGGAGGAAGGTAAATCTAGCTAGATTATTGCATACATTTTGGCAGCCTAAAATGGGAAAAGGATTGAGGTTCATGGATGGGTTCATTTAATCACTATAACTTTTTTATTTATTACTTTGTTATGAAAATTTACCAAATTTTACACATGCAAATTCGGTTTCAGAAAGAAACCTAGTACATGTTTATGGTTAAATGTTATGCTGCTGGACACAATCTAGTACTCTAACATAGAATCATCAGCAAGTTTTGACTTACCGGATGGTTTTCCATAACGAAATTAAAGAAAACATACCCTGCCACTTTTTATTGAGCTGACAGATCATCTGTGGTGAGCTATGTTCACCATTTTAACCTGATGTCATTTGCGTCTCATGTTACAGAGGCGATTGTCTGTTAAAGTGGTACATACCGAAAAATGCAGCAGGCAGTGTTAGTTCTTCAAGAGAACAAAGCTTGATTTAAGAAAGATAGAACTTTACCAAAACTTGGATTTGGCCAGGCACAAAATCCTTGTCTGGGGGCATCCTACACGGTTCCTTAATGACTTAATGCATTGCCAAGCCAAAAAACCCGGAGCCATTAACAATTAATTATTCGAGACTTTGATAAATCCAAGTGCCCTGAAATTGGTGAGCTGGTTTATAGCTTGATACAGAGAAATTTCTGAAGCAATTCCTTTGTCAGTTGATGCCATCCACTCCAAACTTGTTGATATTACATCTACTATTCTGAAGCAAGTACCCGAATTGCTCTCATTGTAGCCAGCTCACAGTTCCATCCTCCATATGCAAGCTGAAGAATGTGAGCAACTTGTGCAAACTACAAAGGCTTTTGACACGCTAAAAATAAAAATAATTACTCTGCTCAGCCAAACTTCTGACTGGAAGAAAAATCTTCATACTCAGTGCACAGACGAAGCACTTCTGATCATCATCATCGTGGCAACACATCTGGTATTGCTGCTTTGGTGAAAAAAGAAGCTCCTCGGATCAACTTACCGGTAACTCATTTGTTTTCTTTTTACATCAGCATGCATAGCAGGTAGTCAAGACTTCAGAGCCAGGAATGTGAACCATCACATTTCTTTTTAGGTCTTCTGTCAAGTAAGTTTGGCTGGCTTTCAGCTAGATAATCATGAAACACTTGATAGGTCTTCAAATTTCACAATTGACTAAAAGAAAAAGTAAGTACACCATCAGAACAGTTTGACACTGATTTTATTGAATATGTGGTGAATTCAAGGTCGCGTAACTGATGCTGAGGAAAGACTGCAAGCTTTTCTGCCCAAAATGCCATAGTAGTAGAAAATGAGCAGACAACTATGCAAATTTCTCCATGTTAGAGGAAGTGCTTCTGCAGGATGGAATTGAACAAGCAAAGCCCTACTTATTTTGCTGAAGAAAATATTAAGCAAACACTGGATTCGCTGAAGACACCTGGATTTTCTTCAGAACTCTTCTAACGTTTACTTCTGTTAGGGTGACTTTAAAGTGGAAGCTGAAAGACGGATTTTTTTAATCCTTTCCTTGCCGTCATTAACTGTTTTAGTGATCTAGACCTTGACCCCACTGATCTGAGGATAAAAGAAATGAAGAGCCTTGACGAATTCTGGGGTGCCTTGAAAAAAAAAAAGCCTACCCTAGTCTCATAAAGTGAGCCATGGGTGCTCCGATTCCATTTACTTTTGGGAGTCAGGGACGAAATCAATTGGATATCAAAGATGACATACCTGTCAAAGACCATATTCACCTTTTCTATCCTTTCATTCAAGCCGTACTGCAGCAACCTTCTCATTGGAATAAACTTTTAAGCACAATTTCATTTCTTTAACTTTGCATATGGTAAAAGCATTTAATTTTTGTATGGGGTGGTCACTCATTTTTGGAGGAACAAGAGGGAAGAAACACAATTTTCTATTTAAGATTTTTTAAATTTAATACTTTATTTTAAATACTGTTTAAGCAATAAATTCACAATTAGATTAAACTTTATTTACTGCATACAAAGTTCTGCTGAAGGTTGCGAACCCTTTATCACAAAATAACAAGGAAAAAGTGAAGTGAGCTGTTCTGAGTGACTGGGTTAAAACGAATGAACTTACGAAAGTTACCGAACACTTCAATCGGCTTTGAATCGTGCTCAAAATGTGTTTTTGTACCTAAATATGGGGTCACCTCGTTTCTAACGCATCAACCTTGATCCCACTGCATCCGGAGTTACAAGAAAATGGGATCCCACCGGGATCAAGATCACACCTGGAAACGGGATTGCGCCGGGATCGGCGTAAGAATGGGATTGGGGTCCCACCAGGATCGGGGTCTTAATGCAATCCCGGGCAACGCCGGGTATATCCGCTAGTGTATATATATATATATATATATATATATATATATATATATATATATATATATGTATATATATATATATTTATATATATGTATGTATATATATGTATGTATATATATATATATATATATATATATATATATGTATGTATATGTTATATATATATATAAGTGAATGTGTGTTTGTGGTTTTGTTCCACAAAGTCTTTAACATGGATTGATGGATCTTGACCATACTTGGCACATATATCCATCTTTATCCGGAAGGAACTCATACGGGGTTATGAACTTTTTTAATGTTCCGTTTGGGGCCGGGGACCGAGAATTCGTGTTTTTTTTCCCTTATATGAGCTATATAAATAAAATTACAAACAAATGCTCCTACATGAATGGATTGATCTTGACCAAACTTAGAACACATACACTTTATTATCCATATTCAAATACCGAAGGATACTGAACTCATATTATCCTGATTGATTTTCAGTGCAATTCTAAGTTCAGGGAGGTGAATGGAAAAACAGACAAGCATGAACAATTTATGAGAGCATTGCCCTCCACCTTCCCTGAGAGTACCTATCTGTGAGCAAAGCTCTTTTCCACTATGTAAAAATTCAGGACCAAACTTATTGATGAGCATCTTCAAGTTCCACTGTGGGTCTCAGTTAGAGACCGACCGAATTTCGGCTTCGGTTTCGGCCAAAACTGAAAATTTAAATTTCGGCTTAATTTCGGTTTCGGTCGAAAGTGAAAAGTTCACTTTCGGTTTAATTTCGGTTTCGGTCGAAATTGACTTAGACTTTCGGCCATCAGGCCGAAAGTGACGGAGGTTTTCGGTCATCCGCCAAAAGTCAGACTGTCTCTAGACCGACAATCTGATATTCATTAGTGCTCGACGTCTTGCTGTCATTTTATGTTATATGACTAATACTCAGCGAAAGCTGTCCACAACTGCATGATGACCATGTTCTATATTTCCAAAAAACTAAATTTCAATTAGGCCTAGACAAATGTAAACAGTTTTGTTGAAGAAAAACTAAGGGAATCGTAATATTTATATAATTTTTTTAAAAATTATTTTTGTTATTCAATTCCTTCATTGTTTATATTCATTTTGATTTATCTTTATGATGCTAATCAATGTTGTCATAGGCAAATCTTAATAATAATGCATCATGGGAATGGTAAAATTTCCATTTTAAAAATTTTTTTTTTTTAATTTTAAAAAGGAAACTTAAGCCTTTTCAAACCATTTTTTTCATTATTATCATGCCCATAAACATTGTTATTGACGAAATAACAAGCGTGTGCATTTATCACGGGTTCGTATTATAATTATGTAGTAGGTCTACTGCAGACCTTTGTACTTTTATGATATTGGCGACCAATTTAGACCAATTTAGGTGTCTTTTGCGACTCAACGTTGAGGCCCATCAGAACAATAATTTTCAAGCCAATGGGGGTGAGGGAGGTTGGTCTCGGAACAAAATAATTACGTCATCACAACAAAAAAGACTAGTGTGTACTTACTATGTTAAATATTAATACAGTGCTATCTTGCGAGCTATTAATTAAAACACAAAGCATTATGATTACGAAAACAACAATACATTGTGGTGATATTTTTATAGCCTTAATAAAATATACTTGGGTGGCAATAGGCTCTATTAGAGCCACAATATTTATTGTAGGTATATGTTCTAGGTTGTAATTTTAAATTATTTAAGTAAAGGCCACTCAAGGGTCTATTTTGCATTAATCCCAGCCCCCCCCCCCCCTTTTTTTTTTCCAAATTTTCTCCTACCATACTAGTTCAAAAAAATTTAAAGCAATTTAAAGCGATTTAAATTACTTTTAAATTGAAATGGTAAAAGTCAAAGTATTCAATAGTTCAAGGGTCTCAAACTCAAATCATCAGGGGCACCGCAGGAGGTAGAGTCTGATTGAGACTGGACCTCATCAAGTATTCCACACAAAAAAGCGGTTACAAATTCATTAAAGTACAACTGTTACAATCTGCTCAACATTTGTAAATAACAAATAAAAACAATAAGGGGTTTCAACAACTAGGCTTCACTTTCTTCGAACTACTCAGTGTTGCCAGAGACCTGGCAGCGCTTCTTTTTACACAGCTTAAAATTTTTTAATAAAAAATCGGTATGTGCGAACAACGGGAAGTGAGACTTTGGCTTATAATCAGCAGCGGCCTGTACGATATTTATAATCGAATAACGTAAGCCTTTAACTAGATGAGCTTTAAATATGCGGATCATGAAACATATCGAGCGTACGGATATTTAATAGATTCCACTAATTGTATCCGATAAAGGCACCAGCTACTATTCTTTTTAAAACTGTTTAAAAATGACAAGTTAGTGGGTTTAAAAAAAAAAATTGTTCTATTGTTTTTACCCATTATGCCCCGGGGGGGGGGGGCACTTGATTTTCCCCGGGGGGATGCTTGAAAGAAACCCGGGTTACCGGAAGTTTGTTTGAAAGAAATTTGGTCGACGGAAAATTGATCGACGGAAATTTGTTTAAAAATGACAAGTTGATGGGTTTAAAAAAAAAAATTTTTTTATTGTTTTTCCCCATTATGCCCCGGGGGGGGGGGGGGCACTTGACTTTCCCCGGAGAGATGCTTGAAAGAAACCCTGGTTACCGGAAGTTTGTTTGAAAGAAATTTCGTCGACGGAAAATTGATCGACGGAAATTTGATCGAACGGAAATTTGGTTGATTTTTTTTTCAGTTCACACGATTTCTAATTTTGCGTCACATTTCTTTTTAAAGGCATTATTTTGTTTGACTCTATAGAGTATATTTGGTATCAAATGAAAGATAATTTAATGGACTAGACTATATGTTGTAAACTTACTTCTTCAGTTTAACTAAAATTAAACACAACAAACGACATCCAAATAGCCATTTAATTTAAAGGGACCCGGGTCGGAATTGCCGTTATTCGGATCCCCGGGCCTTTAGACTAAATGCTCCACATCACAACTTTAAGCCCCAAAAATATCCTAGGCCCTCTACAGGTGCAGTAGCTGCAGGTCCCACATGATTGCTCTGAGGTCAAAGGAACCTAGTTTGTTCAACTAGCATCTACGTCGTTGTCCATTGATTATGTGTAGAATGTTGTAAAACTAAATTCAGCTTTATGCTAAAATACATTTTTGCAATTTTAAGTTATCAACAATTTTCTGAGAACTATAAAAGCTTTAAGAAGGGAGAATAGTCTAGGGCAAAAAGCATATCACCAAGAAAACCACAATTGGAATGAATTAAGTTCATTTTGGGCTAAGGCGGAGTTAGATTGGCTAATTTTTGCGCCCATCCTAAATTCTGAAATTCCCCCTAAAATTGTCTGAAAGAAATAGCGAATTCAAGTATGTGCCAAAATATATACATGAATTTGCTCGACAGCCTTTTCATCAACGCTGGTCAGTGTGACAGTACGTGGTTAAATACAAGCTTAAGCTAAATTATTACCCTGATTAAGCCATAACCGGAGTGAATCCAGTTTATTTATTTCACCGAGTGGCATATTGCTTCTCTCAGCCAAATAAAATGCCCCCACACTTTTTAATCAAATAGTCAAATACAGACAGTGAATTCAAGTATATTCCAAAATGCACCCCCCCCCCAAACACACACACACACATGCTATTTACGAGCCATCGGTGCCCTCAATTTATGCCCTACTTCCCAAATTAATGACAGTGCAGTATATATTTTGGTGCTGATAGGTACACTGCCTAGAAGAGTAGCTAGTTTTAGTGCTGATAGGTACACTGCCTAGAAGAGTAGCTAGTTTTAGTGCTGATATGTACACTGCCTAGTAGAGTAGCTAGTTTTAGTGCTGATAGATACACTACCTAGAAGACTAGCTAGTTTTAGTGCTGATACACTGCCTAGTGGAGTAGCTAGTTTTAGAGCTGATGGATACACTGCCTATAAGAGTAGCTAGTTTTAGTGCTGATAGATACACTGCCTATAAGAGTAGCTAGTTTTAGTGCTGATAGGTAGGTACACTGCCTAGTGGAGTAGCTAGTTTTAGTGCTGATAGGTACACTGCCTAGTGGAGTAGCTAGTTTTAGTGCTGATAGGTACACTGCCTAGAAGAGTAGCTAGTTTTAGTGCTGATAGATACACTGCCTAGAAGAGTAGCTAGTTTTAGTGCTGATAGATACACTGCCTAGAAGAGTAGCTAGTTTTAGTGCTGATAGATACACTGCCTATAAGAGTAGCTAGTTTTAGTGCTGATAGATACACTGCCTATAAGAGTAGCTAGTTTTAGTGCTAACAGAGGCGGGCCAAGAGTTATGCCACTCTCCATTTAAGGATTCAAACTCTGCAGTTGTCCTAAGATGCTTATGTGATGAAGAAAAAAACCCTCTATAACAGGTAATCAACATTTATTAAATTATGTACGCCTATACTCCCATAATACTTGTACAAAATAACTACGTTACCTGTGAAATATGAGAAATCCCTGGAGTCCAGTACAAAGGTCAGCAGATTTTCGAACTCTGTCCATGACTAAATCAATGATCTCCTTGCCCACAGTGTAGTGTCCCCTGGCATAATTATTGGCGGCATCTTCCTTGCCACTGATCATCTGCTCAGGGTGGTAGAGATGTTTGTAGGTGCCGGTCCGTACTTCATCTGAAATCGATCAATAACATGAAGAGGAGTTTCCACTTGCTTGGTTCTTGTGGTTTTTTTTTTCCAGTCAGGTGTCAGGTTTGTATAAACCTAATGTATCAGTATCCTGGTCAGCTTTGAATGGATCTATACTATCAGTATCAGTGCCAAAGACAGATTATATAAACCTTTACAGTAGTGTCATTTGTCCAAACTGTCAGATTATGCAATGACATTTGCCTTTGAGAAGTGTGTGCATCTGACCGTTGTTAATTTAAAAAAAACTTTCTAGCAACCCACCAGCAACCTTTCTGAAAACTTACTAACAATCTATCTGGCTACCTAACAAAAACATGTTTAACAACCTTTCTGACTACTTACCTACAACAGTAGGTTCCAAGTCCACCAACAGAGCTCTAGGCACGTGTTTCCCACAACTAGTTTCGGTGAAAAATGTGTGCATTGAATTCTCACCATTCCCGTCGAGGCCGTTCCCAGTGGTTGTGCCATTGTGCTGTGAATGAGTTACGCATTACACACAGATGTTAGGGGAGCTCAAAGTAAAACAGATGTGGGAGGGTCCTAGTGATAACAGATATGAGAAAGGGTCGAAATAAAACCCATGAGGGAATCATGGTAGGGTCGGTGAGGTACATTGTGATACCCAAAGATGAAGCAAAATAATTAATTAGCTTGAGAGTGAGTAAACTTTGTTTTAATACAAAACTTTGAAAAAAAAAATGTTTTCATTGAGTTACTATTATGGGGGGCGGAGATGCAATCCTATTTACACCCCAATACACAAATAATTCTTATTAGTGGCGTAGCTAGGGTTAGTGCCGCCCGAAGCATAGGGTGAGTGCCCTCCGGAACGGGAAAATATTTTCGCTGCACCAATTCACGAAAAAAGACTGGATGCAAAGAAAAAAGTACCGCCATGGGCAGACCGCCCCCTCCGCCTTATTCCCATAGTCTATAGCAGGCCTGTCCCAGAGTCTATAGCAGGCCTGCACAACTCAAAATGTAAGGTCTGTCTGTTTTACAAGGTAGCAGTTAAAAATAAAGTGTACCTCAATTCCATGCTCTAAGCAGTACAGCTCCCAGCAAGCATTTCCTATCTGGATCCCGGCCTGACCGACGTGTATAGAGATTACTTCACGCTGCAGAAATCAAACCAAACATTTTAAAAAGAAACCAAATGAAATGATAAAAAGGTATATTTTTTTTTAAAATATAGCTACAGAAAGGGTTACGAATAATGAGTCCGGCTTCCGTCGATAGTATGACAGGATGAATGAGCAAGAGGCTTTTTCCAAGACGTCACGTTGGCCCTGAAACCCCCTGTTACGCACTGACTTGTATTGGGAGAAATTAATCTCCTATTTTAATTGGCTCGTTGTAAACAGTGCCTAACAAAGGACGATACCATAGAGTCAACAATATTAAAGATACGACACCCAAAACAGTTTCAAGTTACAATTAATAAGATTTATTAAGTCTTAAGATAATTACAAAAGAAATTAAATGTAATTATAATCTTCAACTTACAGTATGGTAGATCTTTTACGGTGCACAGTTAACACAGAATAATGTGCCAATAAATAATGCGAAATATACACATATGAGCACACAAATACACAAAGAATAAAACACGCCTCGTAAAGTTAATAAAATCTATCTGAATCTCCTCCCTTTTTCCGAGCCTGTCAATCCTTTATATAGGTGGGTCTACCAACGCCTAAGCCCTGCCTTCGAGAAGCTACGCAGCATTTCTAGAGCAATCACATTCATTCTAAAAAATACTATTTGGAATAGATTAATTATTTTTAGTGGCTGGCGGCATCAACACGACAGATCAAACGACTAAGCCACACCCCTCTGTGAACACAGCGTCTCATGTGGGGTCAATCATTAGGGCACGCACGAGAAAAATTATGTAAAAAAGCTCTCTATAACACCTCCCCTCTTAAAAGAAAAAAAATTCATTTTTCAAAAATGGATTTCTTTTTCCATTAAAAATTGAAGAAAGTACATTTCTTACTTTCAAAATATTAGACAAAAAGCTTCTTAACAGCTTATAAACAATAACATTAGTGAAAATTAATTTCTGGACAAAGTATCTGCAATGACATTATCTTTGCCTTTAATATGTTTGATGTCCAAATTATATTCTTGTAAAAATAGGCTCCATCTTAACAATCTTTGATTTTTGGAGACCATCTTATTCAAAAATGTTAAAGGATTGTGATCAGTAAAAACAAGTACTGAATGTAAAGAACAACTGACATAAAAATCAAATTGTTGGAGAGCAAGAATTAAACCTAAACATTCTTTTTCTACAGTGGAATAGTTTTTCTGATGTGAGTTAAATTTCTTTGAGAAATAAGAGACAGGATGATCTACATTGTGGTCATCTTCTTGAAAAAGAACTGCACCAATGCCAACATCACTGGCATCTACAGCTAATTTAAACTGTTTGTTAAAGTCTGGTGCAATGAGAACAGGAGCATTAGCAAGTATATTTTTAATGTTTTCGAATGCTTCCTGACAAGCATCTGACCAATGAAATTTTGCATTTTTCTTTAACATATTACTTAAAGGAGAAGCAATAACTGAGAAATTTTTGCAAAATTTTCTATAATAACCTGCCATTCCCAAAAATCTCATTAACTGTTTTCTAGTAGTGGGTGGTGGAAGTGATACAATAGCATTTATCTTAGCTTGAACAGGCTTTACATGACCTTGACCCACTATGTGACCTAAATATTCCACAGTTGCATGACAAAATTCACATTTATTTAAATTTACAGTTACATTTGCCTGCAAAAATTTTTTAAACAGAGATCTTAATTGGTTTACATGAGTTGAAAAATCTTGACTGTAAATAATTACATCATCAATATAGGCGCTGCAATTTTCCTGGTCAGCAATAATGTTATTTACAAGACGTTGGAATGTAGCTGGGGCATTTTTCATTCCAAAAGGCATTACTTTATATTGGTATAAACCATCTGGAGTACAAAAAGCAGAGATTTCTTTTGCTCTGTCAGATAGAGGAACCTGCCAATAACCTGATAGTAAATCTATCTTGGTTACATATTTGGCATCACCTATTCGATCTATAAGATCGTCTATCCTTGGAATCGGTAAGGAATCAGTCTTTGTAAATGCATTCACTTTCCTGAAGTCAGTACAAAACCTGTAACTTTTGTCAGGCTTTGGGACTAAAATACATGGTGAACTCCAGTTACTAGAGCTTGGTTCACTTATATCATTTTCAAGCATGTATTTTATTTCAGACCGGATTATTTCAAGTTTTTTTCCGGATTGACCCTATGGGGATGTTGCTTGATCGGAACTACATTGCCAATGTCAACATCATGTACAGCAGTGTTGGTTTTATTAGGCACATCAGGGAAGAGTAAAACAAAATCTGCAATAACAGACTTTACAACATCCTTCTCTGACAATGACAAATGTCCTAGTTTCTTATCCAAGTTGGCCAGTATTTCTGAATTTTTAAGTTTGTAATTACCAACTTTTTCTGGGACACTATCAAAGGTTTCAGTAACATTTTCTTTAAGTACTGAAGTTACTGTTGAGATTGTGTTAACATTTGTTTCTGAGGATGGACAATGATCATCACATTTTCTATCAAAATATTCTTTTAACATGTTAATGTGACATAACTGTTTCTTTCTTTTACGATCTGGTGTTAACACAATGTAATTTAAATCATTAAGTTTGGCCTCAACTACATAAGGACCAAAATATCTAGCTTGTAGTGCTTGCCCTGGTATCGGCAAAAGCACAAGCACTTTGTCCCTTGAAGCAAACTGTCTGAATTTTGACTTTTTGTCATACCAAACGTTCATTTTAGATTGTGAATCTTTTAAATCTGTTTTAGCCAAATTAACGGCATTAAAAAGTTTAGTTTTAAATTTTTGGACATAGTCAAGAAGTCCTTCCGTGGGTGTCGATGACATGCACGTGTCTTTAAAAGTTTAAGGGGACCGCGAACTGTGTGGCCAAACACCAGTTCGAAGGGGCTGAATGCAAGTGATTCTTGAACTGCTTCTCTTGTGGCGAACAGTAGCATGTTGATGACATCATCCCAGTCTTTCTCTTGTTCTAAGCAGTAGGTTCTCATCATGTTCTTCAACGTCTGATGGAATTGCTCAAGTGCTCCCTGTAACTCAGGATCATATGCACTCGACAAGCAGTGTTCTATGCCCAATTGGTTCATCACTTGTTTGAACAGTCCAGCCTTGAAGTTGGTTCCTTGATCAGATTGTACAGACTTCGGAAGACCAAACAATGTAAAAAACTTTGTCAAGGCTTTGATGATGTTCGGAGTCTTGATCTTGCGAAGAGGAATCGCTTCTGGGAAACTTGTTGACGCACACATGATTGTCAGCAAGTATTGGTGATCTGATTTTGTCTTTGGAAGAGGTCCAACGCAGTCTATAATAACGCGACTGAAAGATTATTCGAATGCTGGAATGGGTTGGAGAGGAGCTGCTGGTATCTTCTGATTTGGTTTCCCTACCACCTGACAAGTATGACATGATCTGCAGTAGTCAACCACATCTTTCTTGATTCTGGGCCAAAAGAAGTGCGACGTGATTTTGTGATAAGTCTTCTTTACTCCTAAATGGCCTGAAAGTGGTGAATCATGGGCTAAGTTCAGGACTTCGTTTCGGAATGGTGTAGGAACTACTATTTGATGAACAATCCTCCAGTCTTCGTCAGCATTTGCGTCTGTAGGTCGCCATTTTCTCATAAGTATGTCATCTTGAATGTAGTAGCTTACAGGGCATTGTTCAGCTTCTTCTTGTGTTAAAGCGTTCTATCAAAGTTTGAATATTTCTGGATCACTCACATTCATTCTACAAAATACTATTTGGAACCGATTAATTATTTTTAGTGGTTGGCGGCATAAACACGACAGGTCAAACGACTAAGCTACACCCCTCTGTGAACAACGCGTCTCATGTGGGGTCAAACATAGGGCACGCACGAGAAAAATTATGTAAACAAGCTCTATATAACACCCCCGCTGATGCATGCAGGAGGCCTCTGGTATTTAATGGGCTGGCACAAAACCTAATGTACGACGTAGACGTATAATGTATAGTTGATTATTTTCTTCCTTTCAAACTCAGGGGCTAACGACCGCGTAACAAATGTATGTTGGGGTATTGGCTACTACCTACCCCGACCCCGCTATAGACACATGCGTAAATTTCTTTTGAAATAGACGCATGCGTTTCAAAAATATATAGAGTCATTGCAAATAGATATTGAATAAAATATGTGAGTCATTACAAAGAAATATTGATATATATATTGATATACATGTCCCCTGTGACAAACCAAAAACAGTGGGAGTGTTGTAGCTGGTTCTGTTGTCTTTCATCAATATTTTTTTGCGAAATGTCATACCGAGAAGACTGAAAAAAAGATAAATCATCATAAGTGGGATTGAGATAAGATAGGCCGCACTTGTTCATTTGTAGTCCACCAAAAACGAATATAGTCGACATTAGTTAGTGTGTACTGTTCGTGTCGAACGTGTTCTGTTATCTTATCAAACTGATTATATATAAATAATATGTCACGTTAATTTATTTTCAGGCAGCTCAAACTGGTCAGCTACAAAAATAAGAGTACTACTACACACATGCAGGAAGAATGAAATAACCTTGTTTATAAGGGTGGTTGGGACCGTGTACACAGCCTGCAAGAAGCTGCAGATACACATCCGATGTCTGGGTCACGGACAGGGCTACCACACCTTGGGAAATTTCCCAAGGTCTTGGGAATTCACGACCCCCCTTGGGATCTGGGGAATAATTTTGAAAATCATGCAAAACCTTGGGAAATCTTAACTGGGGGGAAAATTTTTTTATATTTTTCGAAAAAAACGCAACAATATCTGATAAAAAATAAAGTAAAAATAAAGCAAAATAATTTTTAAAGTAACAAGGCAAAAAATTAATTGTTTTCATTTTCTTTTCTGGTTTTAATTTTTAAATCCACTCATAAAATAAATAAAAACTCTTCTGATTTTAAAGTTAATATTGTGAATTATTAAAAAGTTAATAATTTTTAAAAAAAATTCAATTTTCTCTTTAAAAAAAAAAAATGAAGATTTACAAATTACATCCAGGTTTTGAATGTTTATTAAATGGGGGGGGGGTAGGCTCGGAAACTTTATCATTATGCTCTTAGACATTAGCAACCATACGAAAAACAGTACAAGCCAAAGAGTGAACGATAGTGTTCAATCAAGAATCCATGCCATAGTAGAATTTTATTATTTCAATTACT